CCCCAAAAGCTCACGGCCCCTTCGCCTCCATTCCCCAGCCCAGCAGAGCTGTGCTAATGGAGCGAAGCCATCGCAGTCACCTTAATGAGCTCCACCATCTTCTTGGCCTGCGCGATGGTGACCGCCAGCTCTTCCAGCTCGTTCTCCGCATCGCTAAGGAATTTGGCTTGTTGGGCCTGCGGACGCGAGGGACAAACACTGAGCTCTGACCCCCCCACTCCCTGCGGCAGGGAGACATGGGGGACCCTGCCTCTCCCTAAGTTCAACCCGCAGCCCCCTCTCTGACCGTGACCTTGCTACCAGGCTTTGGCTGAAGAGCACAAGGGGATTGCAAGTTGTTTTCCCATTCCCCCCGCCACCCCCAGCAACATCCAACCTGCAAACATCCTTCTCACTCGGTTGGAAAACGCAAGGAGCAGCCGGGCTGCAAAGGGCCATGCCCAGCTCCACGCTCCCCACCCCAGTCCCAGCGTAAACCAAACAAAAGAGGAATCTGAAACCAAAACCATCGGGCAGTGATTGCAGCGAGTGCAGCTAAGCCATGTGCACTTCGTGTGTATCCCAAGGCTGGGAAAATTCCGCCTGGGACGGGTGCAGAAACCAAAAGGCAGACCCAGAGCACTCAGAAACGCAGCGCTGAGTCTCCTGGACATTTCTCGTTAGGAGCAAAGCAAACCGGCTCGGGAGCACGGGGTGCTGTGTGGCTGCAAAGGAAGCACCGGCCAAACGTGGTGTTTCCTGACGTGCTATTGTTAGCGCCAGCCATTGCCCATCACGAGGACGGGTCCCTCGGGAGCAGAAGGGCATTGCATTCCCCAGCTGGAGCAGCTCCTTCCCTCGATGCTCAGCCCCTCACTCCAGATCCCTGTGGTGCCTGTGCCCAGTGAGGGGGGACGGGTGCTTTCCCCGTCCCCCGCAGCGCGTGGGCAGTGCAGGAAGCTGCCGCAGAGGCCGTGCAGGCGATGTTAAGCAGCGTCTGCCGAGGCCTGACAGCTCCTTGGGGCTGGGATCACACGCGCTTTCTATTTTAAGGCACTTGATGACTAATAACGCCAGCAAAAGGGTTTTCCTGCAGCCCCAAGAGCCCATGAGGGAGTGGGAGCTGGCTCAAGGCTGCCACTGTACTCCCTGCCAGCACGTCTGCAGCCCTCGGGCTCTCCCCTGGAAAAAGTAAACCCCCCCCAAGGTCCCCAAATGCCCCATGGGGGATGCCACCACACCACAAGCCTTGTAGGGTCCCATCTGCCCGCAGCCCTGCAGAGGCCCTACACACTCGAGGCAGCAGTGCCCAGGAAGGCAGCACTCTGCCGGGCTCGGAGCCCAGCTCCCGGGGAGACTCGTGGGTGTGAATTTGGGAGGTGACTCAGCCACATCTGGGAATGGGAGTGACGGAAAAAACCCCGCTGCCAAAGCACCAGGACACAAAGGGCCGGGGGAGCGGGAGC